TTTCATATAATAGGTTATATTTTTGTCAAGAATTATAATAATTATAGTCAAGAATTAAAGAGTCAAAGTCAGATATTATACAAGTCACGTAAGTTATTAATATATTTTTCTCAGGTATAACAATATACTAGTCAGGAATTAAAGTGTTTTAGTCAGATATTAGATTAATAATGTCAATTATAATAATCAAACTATAATACTTGTTAGTAAAATTTTTATATATTTAGTAAAATAATAGCTTTAAATTTTCATATAATGGTTTAAATTTATCAGAAATTAGAAATATAATCAGTTATTATATTACAATATTTTATGTTAGGACTGAGTATTATTACGTTGGCAAATAAAAAGCCAGGAAATGATGATTTGATTGATTTAGAATTAAATTACTTGGGAAAACGCGCAATAAAAGATGATTTAAATAAAGTATTTCAAACATCATACTCTCAAAAAAAAATCTATACACCCTTTCATATTTCTCTTCTGTTTGTTAAAAAAACCATCCATTTCCAGTTTTTCATCAAAGGATATTTAGCAATTTTGTTCAATTTTTATTCGAATTCAACTATATTGTAAGGTACATATTACAAAATCATATTCTTTTTCATTTTTATTGTTTTATAATGAATTAAATTTAAAATATTATTGGTATTGTATGATTTAGAATTGTACGTTGATCATTAGTTTTTTTTGTGTGGATGTATATAATGTGTATAATTTATGTATTTTGTTACTCAAGGAATTTAATGCTTATCATTGGTTCATGATCATTGTTATTATTTTTAAAAACAGTGTATTTTTAAGTTTGAATTATTTAAATTCGTGGTTGTATTAACACTATTATTATTGGTTGTTTTGTTAGTGTAAATGGATCCAATAGACGACCGTCATTACATGGCTTCTCTAGAGGATGCCCCACATGCATTATCTGTTCCTGAAATCTTATGCATGTATATCTTTCCTAAGTGCACCCCTCGAGCCCAAGCGACGTGTAATTGTGTTTGTAGGCATTGGAATGACTTGTGGTATTTAAATACCTGGATTCCTCATGTAGTTAGAGCCAGACAGGCCAGTGAAAGGTGGTGGATTGCAACTAATGGGTATGGCTTTCATAATTCAATGGTTCAGGATTGGGCTGAATTTCTGGATGGGTTGCGATGGCTATTTAGGGATGAGGAAGATATGTGGAGTAAGAAAAGGAAGAGGGAAGAAGCTATTCAACCTGGTGGGCCGCAGAAGAAGATTATGCTAGATTAAATGCCCTGTAACTATGTTTTTCTTTAATTAAAAGGCAATGTTTTGTATATAATGGTATTGTTTTGATCTTGTCATAGTTTAAAGTGACAGTGTTCATTTGCTTTTGTAAGGCATTGTCACAAGTATGACAAATTATTATGAATGAAATGAAGAAATATATACTAATTTGGACTTATTTTTTTGTTTTTGTTTTTGTTAATTTTATTTTATGTGCATAATGTTGGTGAATGAAAAAACTCTCCTGAATAATTGCACTATGTAACCTCAATAAGGAATATAATTCTTTCGTTTAGAAATTAGATTAATATCATCAGGAACATTTATATTTTATATTTTAGTCTGAAATTATACTAATTTATGCAGGAATTAATTTGGTTTTTGATCAGGAATAATATTATTTCTTTCAGGTTTATTATTCTGTATGTCAGATATTATATTATTTAGGGAAGGAATTAAATCATATTTCTCAGAAATTATTTTTGTTGTATTTGTGTAAGGAATTATAAAATTTAATTCAATTCTTTATATATTATAGTAAGATATTAGATAATTTTTGTCAGATGTTACTATATTTTAATCACTATTTAAATATATTAAGAGTTTAATCAGTATTTTGGAATTAATATTTTTAACTCAGAAATAAGCTTAACTTAGACAAGAATTATATATTATTTGTCAGATATAATTTGTTTCATCTTTGGTATTGGTTGATTTATGTCAGGCATAATAATATTTTACTCAAGAATAATAATATTTTAGTTAGGAATTAAAGAGTAATAGTCGGATATTACATAATTAAAGTCAGTTATTATTCTATTTTTGTCAGGCATAATAATATATTAATCAGTTTTTAGATTATTTTGATCAGAAATTACATGATATTCATAAGGAATTACATGATATTCAAATAATTTCATTTTATAGTCAGATATTAGATAAATAATGGCAGTAATTAATAAATTTTTGTCAGTTAGTAAAGAGTTGAAGTCAGATACTCACGTCAGTTATTGATCTATTTTTGTCTGACATAACAATTTATTAGTCAGAAATTAAAGTGTTTTAATCACATATTAAATAAATAATGTCAATTATAAATCTATTTTCTTCATCACTTTTTATATTATTTTCATCAGATATTACATGATATTCATTAGGAATTATCAAAGTTATAGTCATTACTTAGACAACATAAATCAAATAATTTCATTTTACAGTCAGATATTATATAAATCATGGCAGTAATTGATATATTTTTGTCCGGTATTAAATAGTCAAAGTCAGATATTATATAACTCACGTTAGTTTTTAATCTATTTTTGTCAGGCATAAAAATTTATTAATCAGGAATTAAAGTATTTAAATCAGATATTAAATAAATTATGTCAATTATAATTGTATTTTGTTCAGGAATAACAAAAAGGTCTAATGGTTCGAATTTTGTAATTTATCCAAGTTATTGTTGTATTATCTAATAATTAGAGTCGGGAATTAGAATGGTTTAATCAGATATTAGATAATATATCTCAGTTATTGTAGTATTTTCTTCAGGAAAAACATTTTAAAATACAGAAATTAGCACGTTTTTGTCAGACATTAGCTAACTTAGCTAACTTATATCAGGTATTAGTGTATATTTATCAAGCATAAATTTTTTTTAAAAATATTTTAGTCAGATAATAGATTAAAAATTTCATATAATAGGAATTAAGCTGATTTAATTTTTTTTGTTGTAAACGAGGACGTCAGTTATTGAAATGACGTTTTTGCTTCTTTGTTCCCTAGTTTCGCGTGCTCCCACCCTTTTCTCTTCTTGTTTACCATTAACTCCAGTGAAGACAAAAAAAAAGATATTCTCCTCTAACTTTTCATCTTCTATTCTTTGTTTGAGTGAAGCCAATTCTGGAAAAACTTTGCACGATCGGATCATAATTGCATTTTAAGGTAAAATTCTGATCATTTTATGCTTTTTTTATTGCTTTTAATTGTTGTATTTTGGTGATGAATTGTTGATCGATTTAGGGTTTATTATGAAACGTTTTTTGTTTTTAAAAAATCCCCTTTCATCTGCTAATTATTGTCAGTGTTAGGTTTAATCATACAATTATTTTTACATTATGTCTATTTTGCGTTTTTTATTAGTATTGATCAATTTGTTGTTTGTTACTTAAGTAATTTAGTGCATGAATTATGTGTAACAGTTCTTGAAAAACAAAGTATTTGTTGCATGAATTATGTGTAATTGTTGTTGTGTTAACACAATAATTATTGTGTGTTTTGTTAGGTTATATGGATCCAGTAGATGACCCTCATCATATGGTGGTTCTAGAGGATGCCCCACATGCGTTATCAATTCCAGAAATTTTATGCATGTACATTTTCCCTAAGTTGCCCCCTAAAGCCCAAGGCATGTGCAACTGTGTGTGTAAGCACTGGAATGAACTGTGGTTTTTTTAAGGCCTGGATCCCTCATCATGTTAGAGCCCAACATGAAAGTGAAAGGTGGTGGATGACCAAAGATATAATTAGGAATAATGGCTATGGCTTTCATAATGGGATGGTTCAAGATTGGGCTGAATTTTTGGATGGGTTGCGTTGGTTATTTAAGGATGAAGAAGCTATGTACAACAAAAAAAGGAAGAGGGAGGAAGCAACTCAACCAGTTATGCAGAAGAAGAAAATTAAGCTTGAATAGTCTTGTTGTTGTTAGGTGAATTGCCCTGCATGTTCTTTTTTAGGTAACCAGAGGGCATTATTTTGGCTTTAAACTGACTATAAGTACTAGTTGTTGTTGTTAGCCTTTTAGAGGCAGTCAGTTAAAGTAAAACTTGATGATTTAGGTAGAAATTAATGTATAGTTTCTTTTTCTCCCTTGTCATGGTTTAGTGTGACAGTGTACTTTTTCCGATTGTAAGGCAATGTCACAACTACGACAAAGATATGGATGCACTTATTTGATTATAATTAATGTAATGATGATTTTGAAATACTAAGTTTATGCCTTTTGTGTTAGTTTATATTCCTTGTCTTCATTGTAAAGATGATGAAGTTTTTTGATATTGTTCTGTTTCTGTTATGGAGATGTAGGAAGAAGGCATTCACTTTGTATTAAAAATCAGGAATAATATTATTGCTTTCAGGATTATTATTTTTTTAGTCAGGTATTATATTATTTAGGGCAGGAAATAAATAATATTTCTCAGAAAATTATTTTTGTTGTATTTTTCTAAGGAGTTATAAAATTTAATTCAGCTATTCGTATATTACAGTCAGATATAAAATAATTCTAGTCAAATATTATTATATTTTAGTCAGGATTTAAATATTTTCAGAGTTTAATTAATTTTTTTGAATTAATATTTTTAACTCAAAAATACATTTAACTTAGACATGAATTAGATATTTGTTAGTCAGATTTAATTTGTTTTATCTTAGGCATTGGTTGATTTAAGTTAGGCATAATATTTTTTTCAGGTAATACATTATGTAGGGTAGGAGTTAGTTTATAATTATCAGGAATTAAAAAAAAAATTCAGGATTATAATTATTTTTATAATTAAATAGTTTTTTTTAATGAGAATAAGATAGTTTTATTCAGGTATTATATTACTTTTGTCAGGAATTAAAACTTAAATATCAGAATTAAGCTATATTAAAAATTACTTAGATTGTGTTAAGTTATCTGATACAAAACATATCCCAGTATAAAATACAAATATTATGAAGCTGAAACTGCTTACCTCTGGTATGGCGTTGCTCATTGCAAGATCTTGATCAGTGAAGATTGATTTTGGTTCAATTCCACACATTGACTTTTTGAAGATTGAAAGCAGCCAAACAAATGTATCAGTCTTTTCATCAATTATGAATACACATCCAAACATTGTTGTTTTCTAGTGATTGTTTATACCAACAAATGGAGCACATATCAACCCATATTTGTTTGTTCTGTATGTTGTATCGAAGTTTAAAACATCACCACAAGCTTTGAAATCTTCAAGCATTTGATGAGAGTCACGCCAAAAATAGCTCACAACATTATTTTCTTCTCCAAATTTCAATCTATAAAAGAATGAGGGATCTTGATCGGCTCTTTCTTAAAGGGTGTCTAATACATTTTGCATGTCTCCACCTTCAACCATACTCATTTTCACCCTTGATACATAATTAAAGTGATCTCTCTTAGTATGACCTACACATTCTTCTCCTCCAGCTTCATCTTATATAATTATAAGCATCCATTGGTTTAATACCACTCTCAATCATGCTCTCAATTAGCTCAACCATTGGAGCTGATATTTGCCTTTCTGATCTTAGATGATGTCTTCGAACTGTTATTACCAGTTCATGATTATGTTCCAACTCATGTGTAAGAACATCAAATCTACCTTCTATATTTTTCTTAAAACGAATATGAGTTTTGCATCCAGTACTTGTTTCATTTACCTCCCTTTCTTTTCTCTTTCTTTCATCATTTTTACCCAATATGGGTATTTCTACTGAATGTTGTTCACCTACTATCTTTATTTTACCCTTTGTATGTCCTTCTTTAGAGCATCTAAAATAAAACTCATATAGTTTATCATTGGTATCTCTTCTTTTTGTTGATTTTCTAACACTGAAACCAATTGATCTTGAATGAGCTTTGTATAAAAAAAATCCATCATTGTAGTCCAACACAGTATAACCAACTAAACATCTACTTATGTTTTCATCCTTGTCATATTTGTCATAATCTGCAACAAAAGTAAATTCAAATCATATCATACCGTATTTTTGTCAGGAATTACAATATTATACACAGTAATTAAATATTTTTTAAAATTTATAATACTCAGGAATTAGCATTTCTTAGTCAGAAATTAAATTATTCGGATCAGGAATTACGATATATTAGTCAGGAAATAAATTATTACAGTCAAGTATAATATTAGTCAGGAAAAAAATAATAATAGTCAGGAATTATATAGGAAATGAAGAAGATATAGATAGTATTAGTCAGGAAATAGATAATAATAATCAGGTTTAATATAATAATAGTCAGTTGGATTTTTTAATTTAGTCATAAATACATTGAAATTGTAAGGAATTAGATAATAATAGTCAGGAAATAGATAATTATAAACAGGTTCAATATAATAATAGTCAGTTAGATTATACTTTATAGCATACAGGAATTAGATTTTTTAATCCAGTAATAAACACATTGAAATTGTCAGGAATCAGATTATTTTCACAAATTACCAAATTAGTCAGGAAATAGTTTCTATTAGTCAGAAATTATATTGTTTTTGTCAGAAATTAATCTATATTAAATTAATTGTCTGCATTTACATCATTAAATTACAGAGCATTTAATTATCAATATACCTATTATAGCAGCATCTTCATCTCTTTCTTCAGCATCTTCATTGATGTTGTCTTCTATAATTACATTATCTGCTGCATACATCATTAGTATTAGTATATTTGAATTTTACTTTAAAATTATCAGAAAAATAGATTCAAATTTAAATTAATTTTCTACGACATCTTATATATACAATTCGAATTAAAATAACTTTGATTGCAAGTTATTAGTCGAACTTAAATGCGATCGGAATATAATTAGCATTGATTTTAAATTATAAGTCGAAATTAACTACGATTTGAAATTGAATTAAATTATGCTTCATTCAAAATTAATAACGATCTGTAATTTAATAAGCATTGATTGCATATTATAGGTCTAAATTAACTCGAATTTACATACGATCTGAAATTAAATCGAAATTTAATACGATCTGAAATTCAATTTGCCTTGCATGTAAATTATAAATCGAAATTCATAATACAAATTCAATATTACATTTAACAAATATTATTTGAAATTAATAATAATCTTAAATTATGAATTGTATTGTACCTTTTTCAGCAGTAATTGTGCTAGAAATTGATTCTATGGGTGAATCAGATTCTACTTCAGTCATCATTGTATTGTTTGATTTCTCCATTTTTTTGATTTGAATTGTTTGAAATTTGAAGATTTGAATGCTCTGAAATTTGAGGAAATTCGTCGAAATGAAGGAGTTCGAAATTTTGAGTAAATGACGGCGCTCAAAATTTTAGAAAAAATGATTAAAACAAAAAAATTCAGACATTTTATTAAATGGCGCGCGGGCTTTGATCGGGTTTATCAAGCCCGCGCCTTTTTCATTTACAGCCCGGTCTCACGTGAGTCCAGTCACACACAAAACGCTTTGTAAAATTATCAGTATGAATTTTTCCTATAAATTAAATTAAATTATATCATGAAATACTTTCTTAAATTGATGAACTAATTAATAATTTCCATTTTTTAGGAAAGTGATATAGCTAACAAAACACAGAGGAGCAAAGTAAATTGTTGAATAGGTGTCAATATTTTCAAGAAGAATGCTACCTTGCCCAAATATTATATTAGCCACACATTAGACAATATCATAATTAAAAACTCACACATTCGCTTCTTTATTTGAAAAAAATAACACTAGTAGTATAAATACAATGTATTGCATTACATTTCTTTTTTTTTTTAAAGTATTGCATTACATTTCTTTTTTTTTTTAAAAAAAAAAAGTGTTGCACTACATATGTATTAGTTTTTTAAGTGTAATTACAAGTGCGATAAAGTTAATCAATGTCCTTTATATTTAGTGAGTCAGTAAAAAAAAAACAAAAAAAACAAAAAAAACACTAAGTTAGTGTAGGCTTTTTGTAGGAAGTGCGCCTTACCTTTACCACTTGTTAATGTGTTTGACAATCGTATGAAGATGTGAAATTGATATAGAATAAAAAGGGACAGGAAAAAGTCGTCAATAAGTTTGTAAGGAACATGTAAACTGTTCAAGTATTTTAATGAAAAAGACAAAGTCAACCACAATTTTTAATTTATAAAGCTAATTTGTACCTTATTCACAATCCATGAAATGGTTAACTCCATAATGGTCTTAAACCACACAATTGCATATTCGGGGATGTAGATACAAAATTGAGTTAGGAAGTCAATTATGCCCATATTGACCTCTACTTGATTTTATAGTGACATGTATTGTTTGCTATTGAAAAGATATATATACTCCCTCCGTTTCGTAACAATCACAGTATTTTTCTTTTGTCTGTTTCATAATAATTGCAGCGATTCCTTATTATTTGGTAAGGATCCATTATTATTTTATTAAATATCTCTTTTAATAACTCCACTTTCCAAATATTTTATTATTTTTCTCTACTCACTACTCCCTCCGTCCCTTTTTTTACATTCATATTTCTAAAATTACACGGGAATTAAGGAACTTGGAAAAAAACAAAGAACAATAAAACAAAGTACAATGGGAATTACAAGACATTAATTGATGTCTTTGAATAAAATAAAGATTGAATAATACTAATGATGCATATGTCATCAATCCTTTGAAAAGAAAACGGAGCAATAACATTTTTTGGTGAAAAATAAAAGGACCAATCATATTCATCCAAAGTGATGCACATGGATTCTGAACTTTTTAAAGGCATTAATAAGAATGAGAATAAGAAAATAAGATTGAGAAAATAGAGAAAGCATTAATTACATAACAGAAAAAGAGGGATTATTGGGGATATTTGGTAAAAATTTACTCACTAAAAAAGGAAAGTAAGAATGTAATTTTGAAATACCCAAAAAGGAAAGCAGGAATGTAAATAAGGGACAGATGGAGTACTTAATTTTTATATTATTTCTCTATCATACTTTTTTTTTGAATAAATTTCTCTATCATACTTAATTTAGTTTAAATTATACTCCAAACACTTTGAAAGCGTCCAAATGACTATGAAATCACCTAAAAAATTAAGAAAACACAAACGGAGCGTAATAGAGTACAAAAAAAAACAAATTATGCATTTGCAACCAAAAAAGCAACAAATTACCCTAAATGCAACTATAAAACTAGCATAAACGTGCCTATAAATCCTATATAAAAGTGATTCATCAACGGTTTACAAGTTCTTTGAAAACTTATTGGCGGCTCCCTATTTTCTTTGTCCCTAATCGTATGTCAATTCTCACTTCCTATGAATGTCAAGCATATTCACAACATGATTACACGCCGCGCTTCGAACGACGCCTAAATTAGCAAGGATCAGATCCTTAACAAGGAAGTCGTTTATAAGTACGAGCTAAAATGCGTCGAGGCTTGATAATGGTAACATGGATGGCGGAAATTTAAGGTAAATTTACATGATCACAAGTGATTAGGGTATCCCAAATCATTGTGAGCCGTTTTAGAATGAAATCCAAGTAAAGCACCATTAGGAAGCTAGTCTACTGAAATAAATGTTGAGAATATTGTTGCCTTAAAGGAAATAATAAGGAAGTTGTTCAATGAAAGGTTCGTTGTTGAACGTTGATGATTGTAGGTTGTCAAGTCGAAAATCTGAAATCATGAAAATGAATGGGAGCCATCACTTGGACAATAAATCCTAAATCACATATAATCCACAACACACTCAAGTTTTATCATGTTATTATGAAAGTGTTCGATAATGAAGATGCTAACATTTGCGAAGTAATCATAGCTAAAACTATGCAATAAGTGAACTGTAACATTCACAATTGCATGAAAGAAATCAAGGGTTGCCCACATGGCACCCTTGTTGTCCAAGACAAAGAGTTGCCATGTGGTGCATGCTTAGAGGGGAGAATTTTTCTTGGGGAACAAGGGGACATGTGGTACTCAGTTCCTCACCTAGCCCCTCCCATGTGTGTGCTAAGTGTCGTTTGATTATTTGTCTTGCTATTTAATTTAATTTAGAATCAAATTAATTTCTTACTTTTCTCACTCTATCATTTCTCCCACATGTAAAGATAATTGAAGTTTTTGGGAGTCTTTGCCTATAAATACCAACTTTAGGAGTTGGGATTATTCACTTGAGTTGAAGTCAATAAGGCAACTCCCAATAGGTGAGGAAACCTTTAAGTTCGTAATACTCTAGTATTATTTTGGACAAGCCCCAACTAAGCTTCGGGGTAGGGACCATTCGAGTCGGGTCTCGAGGATGTGAGTCGTTGGAGGCTTGCGCATTTGAAGGGCTCTACACTTTCAATTTTGAGCTCCAAGAAAGAGTGAAGCACGCGTCAGAGGTATGATCATCTTTTCTTCTTTTTCTCTCTTGGTTAATTAATTATGTTATTGTTGTTAATTAATATACATATTAGTTACCTTAATCTGTGTGCAGATTTTTGGAGGGTTTTATTTCGCGTGATTTCAGACATCACGAAACCCAACAAGGTGGGCTCTCGATCCTTGACAGACTTGTTCATCTCAGCATGAGAAGGCTTCTTGGCCGACTGATCCCTGTTGGAGCCAGTCGTTCACTTGTTAATCAGATCCTTTGTATCCCCCTTAAAACTTTTCATGAATTTCAAGAGTTCGTCTTGGGTGACGGGGGCAGTTCCGTTTGCCGTCTAGGCTGCCCAAATGGCTCTTCGAATGACTTACTTAGACCTACTTGATTATCGCCTCGTTCCCTTTTATCTTTGGGATCGACGCGTCTAGTCCTGAGTGACCCATCAGCGGCCACATATGTTTTGACTTTAAAGTTATCATCGGTATCAAGGTCCAACTAGACTAGTAATTCAACCGTAGGCTGCTTATTATTAATAGCCTGTACAAGTTCTCGAGAAAATATCTTAGAGGTACTCTCCCCACAGACAACGCCAAATGTTTTAGGTGTTCAGTGTCCCTTTGGAGAGTTATGTCACTAAGTCTAAAATCCGACGCGTGTACCTGCAAAACAAACAACGGAGACTCAGGTTGGTAGGAGCTCCTCCTCTGACGATCAAGTTAGAACCGGCCGAAGAGTAAAAAATTGCGGAAAAGTAAAAGTAAATCTTCTCGGATTCCGAGATTAGGTGATTTCTCTAATGTAAGAGAATTGATTAAATGTAATAAATGAACGTGCCCCCAAAATGAGGGGAATCTCCATGTTTATAAGGTCCTCGAGATTTTTGCCCTTGTATAGGTCAGGAAACCTAGGGCTGTTGGGTTGCGCCCACTAGGGTGCGGCCTTGTGCCTTGAACTCGAGGATTATTTGAATGCCATGTCATTTCCTCCGAAATGTTCTTGGTTATATAGAGCCTTTGCAATCTCGGGGTGGTTGGAAAATAAATTAAAACATTTAAAGGCACTAAGCTACCTTTAGAAGTTTTCTTGTATTGGTCGCTGCCACACACCCTACATGTAGATAGTTGAACATCATCCTTCCAAAATAGCATACATCCTTTCGAGCATGCATGAATCTTTTTATGAGGCAACTCCAACCCCTTCACAATCTTCTTCACCTCATAGAATGTGTCAGCCATATGGTTGTTGTTAGAAATCGCCTCGTTAACCAAAGAAGAAAACCCATCAACACATCTGTGGGCCAAATTGTACTCGCACTTAAGACTAGTAATTCTGGCAGCCATCTCTAACACATACAATGAAATTCCTTCGTATAATGGTTGTTTGGAAGCCTTTAACACATATAGGAAATGCTCAGCTTGTTCAATTGGCTCCTCCTCTTCCTCTTCTAAATGCCCTTGATCTTCATTATGACCTAAAGCATTGAAAACCATTTCACGATATTCATTTTAGAGTCCTTCGGGAACTCTTGGAAACCCTTCCCCATGACACATACACTCATAGTAATTAGGTACAAAACCCTTGCGATACAAATGAATTTAACCGTTTCCGCATCCCAAAGCCGTTTGTTCTTACATTTAAAACATGGACACCTAACTTCATTCGGGTTGCTACTCTCGAGATGATCTTCCACGTATTTATGGAATTCATCTACCCCTTTCACAAATTCCAGATTTATAGATAGCTCAACCTTCCTTTCATACATCCAGCTACGTTCTGTTCGTTTCATGATCACAATTTCTACACAACTCACGAATATGTATAATCACATTAGTCATAATGCGTATTGAATATTCATTATCCATCAAAATGTTATAAAAATGCAAATAAGATTGTAAATGATGTTCAAAGGTCCTTATCACTCCAACCTAACCCATCCTTGGACATTTAATCTCACTAGCAAATGTATGCCAGGTTTTCAATTCTATGGAAAATCCGACATCATTTCCCTTAAGTTCTCCAAGTACACGATGTAATAGGCTATTAGATAACCCGTCATATGTACCCAGAGAAAGTTGTAGAGAAATGACAAGCTAGGATATTCCCTACAATCAATAACAAGGCATACATTCACCACCTAAGTGAGAATAAACGTACAAGGACAGTCCCAACCAGGGACTATTCAAGACATACTCCTAATGAATATGCCTTGAACGAGTATCTAGGCATATGATTGTGCAAATGATTCACTTAAAAATATATAAAGTAGATTACACATCCATTATTATAACACACTCATTTAAAAATATATAAAGCAAATAACACAACTATTATAAAGTAAATAACACTCATTAAAACAAATATATCATAATCATAATTAAATTGATATAAACAATCATATATAAACAATTAGTGTTCATAATTAAACTGATATAAACAATCATATACTTCCTACGTTCTTTTATTATTGCACCACTTGCCTTTTTAGAAAGTTTCACAAATATTGCACCATTTCCTTTTTAGGAAAAAAATTATTTGTGTTCACACTATAAATACCCAACATACCCTTTCTTTTTACACTTACTTTTTAGTTTATTAATATGTTACATGGGCAATTTTGTATTTTTACCTTTCTCTCTCTTACTTTTTTCCACTACCAAAATATTTGCACCCAACCCCTATGGTGCAATAATAAAAAAACGGAGGAAGTATAAACAATTAGTGTTAATAATTAAATTGATATAAACAATTGTTAATCATTACATTAAACATTATATATATAACAAATATATTTAACTAAATTAACTAACATACATTATTAAATTATAATAAATTAAAGTAAACAAATATACATTATTATAATATACTAAACTAAAGTAAACTAACATATCATGCCGAACATTATTATAAAGAAAATGTGCAAATTGCAGTCATTTAAAGTTTGTATTTTGCAAATTGCAGCCATTTAAAAATTAAATTGCAAATTGCAGCCCAAAAGTTCATATAAATTGTAAATTGCAGCCCGATTTAACTTTTTCATCGGTTTACAAGTTGAAAAATCTTCGATTTAGGTTTTAGGGGCCATTTTATCCCTTAGGGATCCGAATTGAGCTCGGAATTAGCAAAAAAATAACGCAAGTATTTCGTTTTGCGTAACAAAAATGTAACGATTTGTGGGAAATTGTAAATATGAGACACTTACGTTATCTTTTTGCTGATTTCGAGCTCAATTCGGGCCCTAAAGGGCTAAAATGACCCCCTAAAACCTTAACCAAAGATTTTTCAACTTGTAAACCGATGAAAAAATTGAATCGGGCTGCAATTTACAATTTATACGAACTTTTGGGCTGCAATTTGCAAAAAAAAAAAAATTAAATGGCTGCAATTTGCAAAACACGAATTTTAAATGGCTGCAATTTGCAAATTTTCCTTATTATAATAACATATCAACCTAAACTAACATATAATGCCATACATTATTATACTAAACCAAATTAAACTAAATTAACATGTCATGCCGTATATTATTATAATAAACCATACTAAACTAACATATCAACCATTATTATAATAAAGTAAATCAAACTAAACTAACATAAAATAAAAACAATAATAAACTAACATATATTTAAGTCACTAACATGCCAAGTATAAACTAAACTAAGAATTTTAGAAATTATAATGTCACTAACCTCTAAATCTGCACTTTTTATTGAGATTCAAAGCAAGTAAATGTACAAATCCTACAAATAATAAAAATTATACCTTATTTAGGGTGTAAAATGTCAACTTTTATTCAAAAAAAAAAATGGAACACTTACCGACGGCAGAACGGCGGGAGGATGAAGGTGGTGGTGGTTATGGTCGCACCAAGGACGGAGTTTGGAGGAAACTGTATAATACGGTGGTGATGGTGGTTAGGGTTTAAACAAAAAACCAAAAAAAAAACCCAGTAATTTTAAAAAAACATACCGACGTCAGCTACTACACGCTGTCTGTTGTGAACGGCGACTGCTGTGAGGGGTCGGTGGTGGTTGTTCACAAAGATTCGGTGGTTAGGGGCGACGTTTTACCGGATTGTTTAAATTAAAAAAAAAAAACCAAACAAACCTCACCTGCGGCGGAAAACTACAGGAGGAAGTAAGATGGTGGGCTCCGGTGGCGGCGGAAGAACCGGAGTGCGACGGTGTGGGTCTGGCGGCAACAGATATGAGGACAAAGTGACAAGCCCGTTCCTCTTTCTCTCTCTTTCTCCCTTTCTTTCGTTCTCTTTCTTCCCCCCTTTGTCTCTTTCTTTCGTGAATAGGCTGACTTGATTTTCCCCTTTTGACTTGAGGTTTTTTTCGACGGAATTAGATCCGGTCAGAAGATTACCTTTCCGACGGATTTTTCCATTGAAAAGCGAATTTTCCGACAGATTTCAACGACAAACAAGTTTCGGCGTAAAATTTAAATTTTACGACGGAAAATATGGTCCGTCGGAATAAATCCGTCGAAAATAAGCCTTTTTCTAGTAGCAAAATGGGATATTTGTGGCAAAATGGGATACTTGTGGTTTCTCTAAATTTGTTTATATAGGACTATGGGTCCGTTCCCATTGAGTCTTGTATTTTTAGCTGATTTTGATTTATAATAATTCTACCTAACGTTTACCTTAAAAAAAGGGTGTTGGGTGAAGTAAAACTACATAGCTTTATAGTGGCATAGCTTTAATTATTAAAAATATGCAAGCAAGTTATAAATTTATACAACCATTATAAATGCTCTTATTACTGGAAAATATCTCAACCAATCAAAATTAAGAATACATTTTACGGAGCAAATAGCCTCAAATACAACTTGCAATGTTAAAAGAACATCATTTTGTGACTGAGGCAGTACAATATTAAAGGAACGATCAACTTTGTCAAACATTTAGAATTATGTCTTGGTTATCATTGTATCAAAACACAAAAGTCAAATAATATAGGACTATTGACATACTTCATATAATACAAGCCCCGACATTATTTCGCTACACACAAAATTACAAATAATACAAGCCCTGTGAGTCTCCAGTACTCTCATACTAGAGAGGAAGCATTTCCAACCATTTCAAAAGCATGGTGAAGCATTCAGAACGCTTATACTCTGGAGCAGTATGTCCTGCTCCCTGCAAGTTAAAAATGCATGCCTAAGTATGTTACTCTTTCAAATGTTAAAAAGAAGTCATCTCTGTACCTTCACAGTTGCAAATGTTAAATGATATTTGTCATTTGAGAACTTCGTAGTATACCTGCAGTCGCAATTCCAAATTTGAGAGGCTAATATTTTTTTCTTAAGTAGACCAGGTAAAATATTGTGAAACTAATGCGGTGTGGTTGATTTCAGGTAGTTAATTAGTTACTTACCCGGCAACTTGACCATTGACAAACCATGGCCTCCAATCTTCAGAAACCGAGACATTTAACATGTATATCCATTCCAATGTTCCAACATATGATACTTTTATGTCTTGGTCACCACTGCAATATAAAATGCAGACAAGAAATAAAAGAAGTGGATTTGTCTCTTGCTCTTAGCAGTAAATATCTCGGGTTGAGATTTTTAATCGATAAAAAAACATTTTTAATCAATAAATATTAATTATAAACCAAGTGAAGATCCTTAATTCACCTAAATGAATTGATGATTGTATGCCACATTTCTAATGATTATGATTAACTAAAAAAATCTTATACACTTTTCCTCAATTTTATTTTTCAAAAATCAGGAATTCATGACACTTTTAGTACACTTGGAATTTTAAAACTGATCCAAGAACTTTTAGTACCCTATATATGAAAGAAAAGTACATGATGGTAAATAAAACCAGTGGAAGAAAACAGCGACCGTATAACCAGTGGAAGAAAACAGCTACTAAGAATGGCTTGAATTTTACTCAAATTTCAACAGATTACAATTCAAATGAACTTTCTATCACATGAGTGGTAGCTCTCTAATGTTTCTTTTTTAGTGCTACGTTTTATGGCGTCCACTTGAGAGTTCAAATATGGTATCAGTTTTATTCATTTTTTCTTTTTTAGTTTCTAAAACATACTAGGGCTAAGTAAAGCAAGGAAAGAATCAGAAGTGAATAATTATGTAATTATGATATTAATTGTGCACTTGGAATTTTAAAACTTCTATCATTCTTAAAAAGCAACATTACACAATCCCAAACATGATTTTTCATCTCACAATAGTAGTTTTCAGTTTTCACCATGAATAAAGAGTTCATATACCTCCCGAATGTTAAGAGCTGCTCGAACTTGTATGTCATTAGACCAATTTTCCAAGAGATAGTAGATACTCTCCTAAAAAAATGGTAGATGCGCTCAGCTATTCTCTACAGAAAATTCTCTCATACTAGTAATTAGCAAACATTCTGATTGGGCTAGCATGTAGCCAAGAGAGCAAGAAGTCAGCATTACATAAGTCTTAGGATCTTGGTGTTTAGACATTATCAGCTACT